TGACCCTCTGTGTTCAACACCAATATAATAAAATACCTTCAAATCAAGCACCCCCCCTTCCCTCCCAGTCCTCTGCCCCCATTTTCCCCTTTTTGAGCCCCACTGCATCTCCTCTACCTTTCCTTTTTGAAAAATGTCCCTATGCCTACCTTTTTTCCAGTCCGATAACATGATATCAAGCTTCCTCTTTTTTTCCTAGGAGGTCCTAAAGGCTGCAGAGAGCGGCGCTCATATAGCAAGAAGCCCAGGTCTTGATGGCATACACCTAGAAGATGTGTCCTTGATGCCTTGGGCCCACAGGTGTATTGAACCCAGAAGAGGACCAGTGCTGGACAACATAGTAAAGCTTGTAAATTTTTTTTTTTGTAACTAAAATTAAGAAGATGTTATGTTGCCTGCTCTGTGCAGAGCAAACCTGACCCTCCTCTTTTTGGGTCCCCCTCTGCTGCTCTCAGCTCCTCCTCTTCTCCATGCGCCACCATAGGAAGCTAAATTCTATAGAGGCACACGAGCGAGAGGGCTGTTTGTGTCCATAGAAATATACAGCACAGCACGGTTCTGACCCCTGCACCCGTGTCACAGGATTTAACTGACAGCAAGAATAGCCAATGGCTCCTGCTGTATAGCGAGGGGAGAGAAGAACTGCAGGCGTGCACATTACTGGATTGATACAGGGTCAGTATTTGGGGGGTGGGGGTAGCAAATAGAAGGTTTATTACCTTAATGTGTACAATGCATTAAGCTAAAATTAACATTTTGGCTTTAGAACCACTTTACGTAGTGTGGGTAATGTTGAAATTTTGAAATAACCTAAAAAAGTATAAAAATATTGGTGGTTTTCAAACATTTTTATTATTCAACAACCCACTTATACAAAGTGATATCCATATTTATGATGTTTTTTTGTTTTTTTTAATTATACCAACTCTGCCAAACTGATAAAATGTTTGAACTGTAATTGTGTACCATAAAAATATAGTGCATGGTTTTCAACCACCCCAGAAACACATCAATGTGTATTATTTGAAAATAGCCTCAGTAATTATTTCAGCTGTGGTGTTGTGAACAAATATATATACATACTTGTACTGAACTAATTGGCCAATAAATTATCAATTTTGATGGCTTAACTGAATCTCTATATTTATGCAAATGTAATAACAAACCAATATGCTGAAATTTCATTGCAGCAACTTAAAATAGTACTCAGTAGTTTCTATGGCCCCCACGTGCTTGTATGCATGCCTGACAATGTCGGGGCCTGCTCCTAATGAGACGACGGATGGTGTCCTGGGGTATTTCCTCCCAGATCTGGACCAGGGCATCACTGAGCTCCTGGGACTGTCTGAGGTGCAACCTGGCGGCGTCGGATAGACCAAAACATGATATCCCAGAGGTGTTCTATTGGATTTAGGTCAGGCGAGTGTGGGGGCCATTCAGTGGTATCAATTTGTTCATCCTCCAGGAACTGCCTGCATACTCTCTCCATATGAGGTCAATCAGGGTGCCATTGTCTAGCCTGTAGAGGTCTGTGCATCCCTCCATGGATATGCCTCCCCAACCATCACTGACCCACCACCAAAACGGTAATTCTGAACAATGTTACAGGCAGCATAACGTTCTCCACGGCTTCTCCAGACCCTTTTCTGCCACATGTGCTCAGGGTGATCCTGCTCTCACCTGTGAAGAGAGTACAGAGTGCCATTGGTGGACCTGCTAATTCTGTTGTTCAATTGCAAATGCCAATCGAGCTCTATGGAGCTGGGCAGTGAGCGCAGGGCCCACTAGAGGATGTTGGGCCCTCAGGCCACCCTCATGAAGTCTGTTTCTGATTGTTTGGTCAGAGACCACACCAGTGGCCTGCTGGAGGTAATTTTGTAGGGCTCTGGCAGTGCTCATCCTGTTCCTCCTTGTACAAAGGAGCAGATACCAGTCCTGTTGATGGGTTAAGGACCTTCTATGGCCCTGTCCAGCTCTCCTGGAGTAACTGCCTGTCTCCTGGAATCTCCTCCATTCTCTTGAGACTGTGCTGGGAGGCACAGAAAACCTTCTGGCAATGGCACGTATTGATGTGCCATCCTGGGGAGTTGGACTGCCTGTGCAACCTCTGTAGTGTTCAGGTATCCCCTCATGCTACCAGTAGTGACACTGACCCTAGCCAAATGTAAAACTAGTGAAAAACCGTCAGAAAAGATTAGTAGGTAAAAAATTGTCAGTGGTCTCCACCTGTAAAACTATTCCTGTTTTGGGGGTCATTTCATTGTTGTCCATCTAGTGCACCTGTTGTGAATTTCATTAACACCTAAACTGCTGAAACTGATTAACAACCCCTTCTGTTACTTAACCACTTGGTATCCACGGTATAGCTGAATGATGGCTACAGCATGGTTACCTAGTTCTGAGAGGGAGTCATATGACGTCCTACCAGAATGCACCCTCCTGCATGCCCCCAGGGGCGAGCACCTGTCGATCTCTGTGATCGCTGTGTCCTACGGACACAGCTGATAACGTGATGAGGTAAAAGGCCAATCACAGTGGGCTTTTACCACATGATCAGCTGTGTCCAAAGACACAGTGGATCATAAAGTAAATACAGTTGCAGGTTATCGGCAGCACTTTCCTCACGCTGTCCCAGCGTGTGGAAAGTACTGCCGATAACCAGCAGCTGTCACAGAGGAGATCGGCATGATGATCAGTGCCCTCAGCAGTGCCGCCCAGCAGTGCCATCAGTCAGTGCTGTCATTCAGCGCCGCCTCATCAGGGCAGCCTATCAGTGCTGCCTATCCTTGCCACCTCATCAGTGCCCATCAGTGCTGCCTATCAGTGCCCTTGTCACCTCATCAGTGCCTATCGTTGCAGCTTCATTAACGCACATCAGTGAAGGAGAAAAATTACCTGTTTGCAAAATGTAATAATAAACAAAGAAAAACTTTTTTTTTCAATTTTTTCCTGTTTTTATGTTTATAGTGCAAAAAATAAAATGCCCAGTGGTAATTAAATAACACCAAAAGCAAAAGAAAGCTCTATTTGTGTGAAAAAAATGCTAAAATTGTCATATGGGTACAGTGTTGTATGACCGCACAATTGTCATTGTGAAAATGAAGCTGAAAATTGGCTGGGGCAGGAAGGGGGTATAACTGTCCTGTAGACAAGTGGTTAAACTGACCAGATCAATATTCCAGGCATTTAATTGACTTGATTCTATACTCTGATTAAAACATGTTCCTTTAATTTTTTTGAGCAGTGTATAACTATTTATTATTATGGTAGCAGTACTATACTGCTGTTTTTAGAGCTATTCCAGCTACATTTATATTCCAGATTACTCTCTATACATTGCTTGAAGATTTCTGCATGTACATCCATTAATGAGCCGTATGGATATGTTTTTCTCTGCAAACCCTGATGAAGGGATACTGGACTGAATGAGTCTTTTGGAAATAATAAGGTTTTTTTTTTTTTTTGAATGAAGACTGAGATTGGCGATTATTTCCGTCACCCTTCACCTTCAACCACTACTTCTCTGATTTATCCTCTTTACATAGGGCCAAACACTTGTTAAAAATCACCTTCGGGTTGTTTGCATAGTGATGGGGTGACCTCGTCCCCATTGAGTAGCCACCCTGTCTGATCTGCGTTCATCCAACTCCTGCGCCAGTAGACCTCTCTACTGACCTGAGGAAGTATAGAGGGACTGCTATTGCTGAACTTTTTGCTGAAAATTCTAGCTTCCTGTTTGTCACACTATTCCAATGACTTCAGGACTTTAGAAGTCACTGTGTCAGCCCAAGTATGCAGATGAGGGATTCTGACTTCACTCAGATCTGCCTGCTTCTTCCTAGTCAGTGCCTCAGAGCAGTGTTTCTCAACCTTTTTTCAGTCAAGGCATCTTTTAAAATTATGGACAATTTCAAGGCACCCTCTAAAATTATGGACAGTCCCGAGCCACCCTCTAAAATTATGGACAGTCTTGAGGCACCCCATACTAAAATAAAATGTGAAAAAATATTCTAATAGTTTTATATAACGCAGCAACATTCACACATGTAGGACACCCAACATTAGAGGTGATTTATTCTTCCAAAGCAAATACATATTTTCACACTGGTCCTGACTAGTATTACAGTGTTTCTGTCAGTGCAACTGACATCCTCCTTATCAACTGATGATGTCATTGGTTGTCAGGATACAGGTGGCTAGAAGGTCGTAATGGCGCACAATGAAAACCTGTGGCTTTGTGTAACTAAAAGGCAGGCTTCTTCTACCCGCTAGCTTGTATACAAAATTTGGGCAACTTTTTGACATTTTGCCAAGCCACCCCTGAAGAAACTTCAAGGCACCCCCGGTTGCCTGGGCACCCTGGTTGAGAAAGGCTGCCTCAGAGTATTGCAGCTACAGACAGCCAGGGAAATCACTTTTCCATAACTGAGCAATGGCAGCCTCAGGGGCAGACTGACCATTCGGACACATGGGCACTGCCAGAGGGCCCAGGGTCAGTAGGGGGCCCCATGAGATGCCCTTGGTACCTTTCATAGTTTTTTTTGGGAGTGGTTTGGGGTGGGCCCCATGATCCCATATTGTCCTGGGGCCCCATGAGTTGTCAGTCTGCCCCTGGGCAGCCTCCATATTTACCTCAGGAAAGATATCCTTCAATAACTTGTGATTATGAGACTCAGGCCTTATACATGTTCCCATAATTGTTAAAGCTACAGGGGTTAGGCAAAAAAATGGAAACACTACATGATTTGCAGGTGTGAAAGTAGCGATGTTTCACATTGAAAGTGGAAGTGATGTAACATTCTTTTGCTCCCACTGTGTGATGAGACACCTAACTAACAGGTGGGAAGCCTCGCTTTCGTCATTCACTGCATGCGCTGCCAGTAATACAGAGTCATGTCAGAGCAAAGAGGGCAAATTTTTGGTGCTCGCTTAGCATCTCCTATGGGGGGGGAGAACTGTTTGTAAACAAAACAGATCTCTCCCCTGTCAGATCCTGCACACTGCTTTGTATGGCTTTGCATAGCAGAGTCATGCAAAGCAGCGTGCTTACAGTGAAAAACAAACACACAGCCCTACAGTAAAACAGCACACAGTTAACCCTTTGATCGTCCCTGCCCAGTGCCATTAGTACAGTGTCAGTGCTTTTTATTAGCACTGATCACTGTATTGGTGTCACTGGGGATGTCAGTGACACCAAGTCAGTGTCCATTACTAGTAAAAAAAAAATTAAAAATCCCAGAATCTATACTGCCATTTGTAAATGCTATAACTTTCACGTAAACCAATTAATTTACATGTATTGGGATTTTTTTTTTTTTAGCAAAGACATGTAGCAGAATACATATTGCCCTAAATTTATGACAAAATTAGATTTTTAAAAAATTCTTTTACTAGCCATGGTTTTTTTTTCTTTTTTTTTCTCAAAATTGTCGGACTTTTTGTTTTTATAGCGCAAAAAATAAAAACCGCACAGGCAATCAAATGCCAACAAAAGAAAGCTCTATTCATGGGAAAAAAAGGACATAAATCTAATTTGGGTGCAGCATTGCATGTCCGCACAATTGTCAGTTAAAGTAGCGCAGTGCCGTAACACAAAAATGGCCTGGTCAGGAAAGGGGGTCAATCCTCTGGAGGGCAAGTGGTTAATTTGCTGACTAAAGTTCCACTTTAAGGCTAGGTTCACACCTATGCAGTTCGCGTTTGACACATTTCTGCAGTGCCTTTTGCGGTGCGTTTTTGCACATGCATTAACGCGTTTTTGATGTGTTTTGCAATTGGTTTTTTTATCAACTTATTGCTGGGCAGAATAAAACGCATCTAAAAAGCACTACATGCTTTTCTGTAGCATCTCCATTGATGTCTATCAAACCATAAATACAAAGTTTTGCATTTAAAAAAAGTCCCTGACCCTTTCTAAAAACGCAACGGGTGAAAACGCGGAGATGTGAACCTGTCCCATAGGAAATCATGTTGCTAACTGCTGTGCTAACGTATGTTTACAATCTTAAAGTGAAACTGTGCTCATATCACACCTATTAATGTATGTACATATTCTGAACAAGCAGTAAAAACACATTTATTTATTTCAGGTACTTATATAGCGCTGTCAATTTACGCAGAACTTTTTACATATACAGTTGTGTTCAAACTAATAGCAGTCAGACATCAATAACCTGATCAATCACTGTTTTTGGTAGAAATGATATTTCTACATGGCAAATAATTTACTAGCAGGTGTAGTAGAATAATAGAAATCCAACAGACCCAACAGTCATGACATGCATGCTGCTGATTCTGTGTAATTGAATCACTAATTGAAAGGGGCATGTTCAAAATAATAGCAGTGTGGAGTTCTATTATTGAGGTCATTCATTCTTTGAAAAACAGGTGGCAATTATTGCCCTTATTTAAGGAAGGAAGGCAGCAAATGTTGTACATGCTGGTTACAGTGCATTTCTCTCTGAAATTCTGAGGAAAATGGGTCGTTCCAGACATTGTTCAGAAGAACAGCATACCTTGATTAAAAAGTTGATTGGAGAGGGGAAAACATAAAAAAAAGAAAATGATAGGCTGCTCAGCTAAAATGATCGCAAATGCTTTAAAATGGCAACTAAAAACTGAAAGACGTGGAAGAAAGCGAAAAAACTACCATTCAAATGGATAGAAGAATAGCCAAAATGGCAAGGACTCAGCCAACAATCAGCTCCAGGAAGATCAAAGAAGGTCTAAAGTTACCTGTGAGTACTGTTACACTTAGAAGACGCCTATGTGAAGCCAAGCTATCTGCAAGAAGCCCCCGCAAAGTCCTACTGTTGAAAAAAAGACACGTGCTGAAGAGGTTACAATTTGCCAAAGAGCACATTGACTGGCCTAAAGAGAAATGGCGCAACATTTTGTGGACTGATGAAAGTAAGATTGTTCTTTTTGGGTCTAGTGGCCGGAGACGGTTTGTCAGACGACCCCCAAACACTGAATTCAAGCCACAGTACACTGTGAAGACAGTGAAGCATGGTTGCGCAAGCATCATGATATGGGGATGTTTCTCATACTATGGTGTTGGGCCTATTTATCGCATACCAGGGATCATGGATCAGTTTGAATACATCAGAATACTTGAAGAGGTCATGCTGCCTTATGCTGAAGAGGAAATGCCCTTGAAATGGGTGTTCCAACAAGACAACAACCCCAAACACACCAGTAAACGTGCAACATCTTGGTTCCAGACCAACAAGATTGACGTTATGGAGTGGCCAGCCCAATCCCCGGATCTTAATCCAATAGAAAACTTGTGGGGTGACATCAAAAATGCAGTTTCTGAGGCAAAACTAAACAATAGAGAAGAACTATGGAATGTAGTCCAATGATCCTGGGCTGGAATACCTGTTCACAGGTGCCAGAAGTTGGTTGACTCCATGCAACACAGATGTACAGCAGTTCTCAGAAACAGTGCTTGTACAACTAAATATTAATTAAGTGATTCAAAGGAAAGCAAAATCTTCAAACATTTTTCAGTTTATATAGTGAATGTTTGAGTTTGTAAAGAAGAAATACAAACACTGCTATTTTTTTGAACAGTCTAATATTCACTTTTCTTCAATTTTTTTAGAGGAACAACACATATTTGATATATTTTTCTTCATGCTTTGATTTGGAATAGAATGTGTAGTGTTCCCAATGCATTTGTGTGTATGGAAATAAAAGCTATTAGAAGGATTTTGAGCTTTATTCACTTTTTTCAACACACTGCTATTATTTTGAATACAACTGTATTTATTGTACATTCAAATCAGTCCCTAACCCTCAAGGGGCGTACAATCTAAGGTCCTTAACTCACATTCATATATATACATACTAGGGCCAATTTAGACAGGAGCCAATTCACCTACCAGCATGTCTTTGGAGTGTGGAAGGAAACCAGAGTACCCGGAGGAAACCAGCACAGGCACAGGGAGAACATGCAAACTGCAGGCAGGTGGTGCCGTGGTTGGGATTTTAAACCGATGACCCTAGTACTGCCAGGCGGAAGTACTAACCATTTAGCCACTGTGCTGCCCGTTAATACAAGTCCGTATTCATCTGTGTAATAATAACTATTGTGTAAAAATTAATTTTCAAATTTCACTGAAAACAGAATGTTTGCAGCCTGCCAGGACTCTAAAATAAATAACCAGTAGGGATTCCCAATCTGTTTGAATAATGTCAAATGGGCAATTTTATTCATGATTACCTAACTCTCCATTTTGTTGAGGTTATCTCTTTCTACGAAATGTAAAATGCTTTTCTATGGGAGCGCTCAGCTTTAGTCACATCACTTGCCGGTAAATAAGCCTGTCCTCTTGTCATTTGGCTGTCTTCTTCCTGTCTCTGAACTTCTGGTGCTGCAATGGTTGACAGCTTCAGGTCTTCAGGAAGAAGGGCAGTACAGATGGTCCTCCTCCATTGAGATAGGTCTTTCACTAATTACACTTGTAACATGATCTGTGAATTGGGGAGAGAATATTATGACTGATCAGACTCACAATTCATGGATCATGTAATCAATTAACCACTTTCCATCTGACCCATGTACATAAATGGCCGGAGAGAAGCAGTGCCTAAGCGGGTTGCCGTTTATAAACTGCCCCCTCATTCACTGACTGGGAGTGCGCGGCACCGCGATCTGGTGCCCACTGTATCCACTGATCGCTGTACAAGACCTCTGTGTGAGGTCCCGATTCATATGATCACTGATTGGCTAATCAGTGATCACATGAATAGTAGTAAGCAAGATGTCACTTCCTGACATCATTGCTTACTACATGTGAAATCTGTGAATGATCACAGAGGTCACATGGTACAAGGCTATTCACAACAGCCTTGTACCTTGTGACAAGCTGTGACCAATCACAGCTCCCACAGTATTTCTCAATGGCTGCAAGAATGCAGCCAGAAAGAAGGAGAAATGATTGCTTTTACAGCCTTTATCAGCATAAAAAAAGACAAGAAAATCTTTTGGTGACACTGTACTGCTAGGGTGATGGTATTTTTTAATAAAACAAACAAAAAAAAACATAAATAATAATATACAAAAATAAAATAAAAATGTAAAAACAAATTTAGAAAACTTATAATTTTTGGTTATAAACTAATTTGTGTTATTTTTTTTTTTTACTAAAAAGATAGCTGAATACATTTTGGCCAAGATATATGAAGAAAGATTATTTATTTGCAAAATTTTATAAAAAACACTTTTTTTTCAAAATGTTTGGACTTTTTCATTTATATAGCAAAAAAAATAAAAATTCCAGTGGTGAATAAATGCCCCCAAAATAAAGTGTTTTCTGTCTAAAAAAAATATGCTAAAAAATTCATATGGGTACAGTGTTGCATGACCGCGCAATTGACATTCAAAGTGTGATAGCGCTGAAAGCTGAAAATTGGCCTGGACAGGAAGGAGGTGAAAGTGTCCGGACTTGAAGTGGTTAAAGACCTTTTTTTTCAGTAAGGAAGTGGAAGCAGAGCTGTATCCCATTGGACCACCTGTACTGGTGTTCTCTACCTGAAGATTGCAAGCTGTTAAGCACTGCGGTGCCAGAATTTCAGAAAGAGGAAGAGGACCGACCATCCCTGAAATGAAGATTTCTCCAGGATCCAGCTGCCTGCACAAAGTGGGACTTACTTCATTACAGGTAAGTGATGTGATTTCAGCTGTTGGGAATTTTTCAGCTTTAATTAATCTCTATGGAATGCTGCTCAAGTAGGTGAATGAGAATGATTTGTAGCAGAATAAAACCAAATGCTATAGCACTATGGCCAGTGACTCTAGCAATTAAATTGCTAGCTGCTTTGCTGCCAATAGCAATTTGTAGCAGCAATCAATTTCTGCTACAAAATCATCCATCTGACATGAGCCTTAGAAACAGACTTAGCTGTGATCTTTGAGGATCTTTGAGGGCTGGTTCACACTACGATTTCTGTATATCAGATTGCAGCTCTGCATGTGCATTTTATATGCGTTTTTCATGATATCTGGTGCATTTCTGATGTGTTTTTGCTGATTTACGATGCTGTTTTTCCACTCTTTTGTTTATTAATCTCAATTGAGGATATGTGCATTCCAGTGCATTTTTGATGCACTTTGCCACATTCCAGATG